GATCCCCCCCTCCCCCCACCCTCCACTTGCAACAAGCAAACCTTGCTTCGCCAGGGCAACGAAGAAAAAAGGGAACCACCGACCCTTGCACCCCCGCCAACACATCCCTCCGTCACTCACCAGGTACCGTGGCGTATACTTCGGGCTCTACGACTCTTTCCGCGAGAAGAACCCTTTCAAGGACGACAAGGGCGCCAAGGGCCTCTTGTCCAAGTTCTGCATCGCGCAGACCGTGGCCATCGCGTCCGGCTACGCCTCGTACCCCTTCGACACCATCCGCCGCCGCCTCCAGATGCAGTCGGAGAAGGTGTGTGATTGATCGTCGTGTGGACTCCCCTACATGTAATATAGCTCAAACGGCCTATATCATAACGACACTAGTCTTGATTTGTCTTCGTGTTTGAGAGCAACCCGGCCCAAAAATTACTTCTTTCAATAGAAAGTGCCCCAAAACACCTGTACGAACACATCACTGTAGTAGAGGTCACCTTCCTGTAGATACACGGCGGACCTCCAATACAGCAGAGCGATACAAGTGTGACGAAGGGCTACATGGGGGTGGTAATGCACTGGACTACTGCTGTTCCCAGGGATGCTGAGGGGGATCAATCCGTGCTTCTTAACCATCAACAACAGCTATTCTCGTCGCCCAGACGCGTTCCCCTGCCCCCCCCCCCCCCCCCCGTTTTTATTATAAAAATTTTTATTGCATCCATGTTTATGCCTGGGCGTCGCAACCACCGTCGGAGTGGCTGTACAAGGGCACGACCGACTGTTTCACCAAGATCGTCAAGGAGGAAGGCGGCGCCGCTCTTTTCAAGGGCGCCGGGGCCAACGCGCTCCGCACCGTCGGGTCCGCCCTGGTGCTGGTCATGTACGACCAGATGAAGACGATCCTGAACCTCCACTAAATAATACTACACGGCCTGGCTGTTTGTGGTTGGTTGGGTGTGTTTCGCCCGAGAGCGATGAAAAAAAGGCGGTGGCTTGAAGAGAGCTGGTGAAGCAACCACGGATCTACTCTCGGCTCGTTAACAATAACTGGAGGAGTTGTTTGTCTCCTCTTTTAGTGTTTTTTCTTCCAGCTGGACAGAGGATGTGCGGCCAGCTCGGTGGGGCTGTTTCTTTGTAAGGACTTGAAGTTGCCACACAAGTGCGGATTCGGAGGGAGTGGGAGGCGGCCCAAACGTTCTAGAGGTAGGGTGGGACCGAGAGATGGCAACGAAAAGATTCACACCGGGGGGGATGAGACCTTGGCGAGCCTGTAAATGGCAGTTTCGGCGGCGTAGCGATGAAAAACAATGTTGTCCTAGATGTATGTTCAGATGTACAACAGATTCCTAGAACAGAGGTGTAAGGACATGGCGTGGTGTTGTGTTCGATATACGAACAACGACGACGACGTCGGTAGTACACCGACAACGAGAATCGGAACAAGTGGGTCTTCCCTGATGTTTTCTGGCCACGGCTGTCTCTCAAACGAAAACCTTGTGTATGTCAGAGTCACACCGGCTTCAATCCGACGTACCACCAACGAAGGCAAACGGTAGGAGCTAGTCCTACGCGAATGGCAAAAAAAACATCCCACTGAGGCAACATGTGGTATCATGAGGCCCCAACCAACCAAAATCCAACACCATAATCGATTCTGCGCGAGCCCAGAAGAAGAGTCTCTGCCAAAACAGCAACGAACACTTCATTCTCGAGTGAGTACGACCAAGGCACATGCCGGAAGTCACCAAGGCCGACATCGGAAGGGGGGGTGGATTCGACTGGGTGGTGGGTAGGTCTACATTGAAGAAGCGGGAGATGAAGCGTTGCAGACCGCAAGCACACAGAAAACAAAACAGGAGAAGAGAGACGTGAGGCGCGAAACTGCGCATCAGCATATACCAAGTTTTCAATGTAACACGAAGCACCGCCAAGAGGGGCGAGAGGAAATGGTTTTGCAAAGCATACACCCTACATCGTGGTCACGCTCGACTGCAATCAAGCTGCACCCCATTTGGCACACAGTAGAGATAGAGAGGGACTTCAATCTCAATGAAAACTAATTCATTCGCTCTCTTGCGACACCTGACCTGCACCGTGAGCCCTTCCAGCCCTTCGTATTTATGCCAAAATTGAAGGGATGAACCGTTTATTACATGTTAAACAAACAGTCAACGATGAAAATTGCTCCAGGGATGGGTGAACCCAACGATACATCTTACGCTCCTCACTTCGTGTGCTGGGAAGAGTCGCACAGAACGAACCGCGCGGCGCACAAATGCCGCGGACGCATCTACATACAGATAGTCTTCGCGAATGCGGCTACGAATGCCCCCCCATACCCCGCAGCCAGCGCACCACGCAATCTGCGATGCCCCTCTGGCTGCTGCAGCGTTGTCAAACCAAGCAACACCTTTGCCTCACGGCTCACTACTGCACACTGCGATATCCTCGCTCGCGTGTGACCTCTACACCTGTGGGACTCATGATTGGTTTAACTAACCGACGCGTCGGCGCAGCTCTTGCACAGCGTGCGGGTTCCGGGCAGGCGGCACAACGGACAGCATCATCCTTTTGCAGCGGCCGCGGCGGCGGCGGCTCGGCAACAACAAGCGTCCCCGCTGGGAGTGCAAGGTCGTCCCTAGTCAGCAGAGGTAAAGTTGGCTGCTGGGTCAGCGCAAAAGGCGCACGATAGGTGCATCCTCAGCTTCGAGGCCAACGCCCTGCTGCTGTTGTTGTTGCGCTCTGCTGCTGCAAGGCGCCTTGGTACCAGGTCGTGCAATAGTGCCCTTTTGTACGCAGTCTTCGCTCGAAGCACCGCACGCTTGTTTTGCTGGGAACCCTTACCCTTGGCTAACGCGCTGACTCTAACACGCTCATGTTTTCTTTGGCGTTGGTTCCGGCCTTGAAAGTGTGTTCGCCCAGAGTTGTGCTGCTAGCAACGCAAGACGCTAGACGCAGCCGGCTTTCTTTAGACTTGCAGTGCATTTTCGGGTTGGCCAAAGCAGCAAATTCACCTCAAGAAGTGTACATCACTGGGGTAAAGTGTGCCCACACACGTTCTAGACAACTGTGGGGTACAGACCGACTGAAAGCTCGCTGTGCGCTGCAAATTTAAGAAGGTAAAACAACGTATGCATACGTGCAAGCAATGCTCTTGGCGAGATCTTTCGGAACCCACCCTTTTCGACTTTCGGCAACTTACTGACACAGCAGAAAGACTACCCATTCGAGATATACCCACACAGTCGAACGGGATGTGGTGGAGTCTTTTCAGTGAGTGGAGATATTGTCAGCGTTGGCGCACGGCGGTGGAACAAGGATCGACAAAGTACAAACCGTAGGTTGCACAAGATACCACACACCCTGGGCCCATATTTCAAACTCGATACTTGTAACCCTGCCAACAAAAACGGCGACGGCGCCGAAAATGGCTGCATTAGAACCGTCTCGTCTAGATCTTTTTCCGAACTCGTACTAGTTGATTCTGGCACCTTTCGTCGTGGAGCAATCGAGCTTTGAACTTCGGCCAGGAGGTATGGTATCTTTCGCAACCTACGGTTAGATACTGGTGTGAGATCTAGGCATTTTGTTGTATCCCCCCCCCCGCGCGCGCCCGGCGCACTCACACACCCGGCCACCACTGCTCACTCCCCCTCCTTCCAACTCACGGTCATGTATCACGTAGCTGTGTGCGTCTTGCATCGGGGAGAGCGCCATTCGTGGGCGTGGCGTGCTGAACTCCGTACGGCGTGCGGGCGCGGATTTTGTTTGGTGAACACCACAGCGTAATAGCAGTGGCGGTGGCAACAGCCCCACCTAAGGCGGCCAACTTCAGCCACGGTCACGGAAACGGCTTGTGTCCGCTGCTACTCTGTTGCTCTTTCCCCTCTATTGTACACCACCGCTATTCGCTATGTATCTACTTCATCCACCCTGCTGTGGTTTCATGTTTTGCCGTGACCTGTGTCCCCCATCGCAGTATTTAGTGGGAACAGCCCCACATAAGACAGCCAACTCTACCTGAGGCAGCGCGGAACCGGCTTGCGTCCACTCGCACGTGCTTGATTCACCCTGTTGTGTTGACCCACAACTCCCATGTACTTGATTCACTCTGTTGTGTTCACTCACCCACACAAGTAGTGGCAAACACCCCCCAAACCTACGGCAGCCAACTTGAGGGGGTCACCAAACGCTTGTGCCCGCTCGCTGACTCCACACTTGCTGTGGTTCGCTCTTGCCGCGTGTTGTACCCCACCGCACAGGTACCGGGTCTTGGAGGCAACAACAACGCCAGCCATGGCAAAACCACCAACGACAGCAGCAGAGCCGAGCGCTGTCGTACCGTTTCGGCGTGGGGCAGTCGTGGGGGGGAGGGGGGGATGTGGACGACCCCTGGCCAGTTTCCCACCCCAACTCGTTCGTCAACGTGTGCCCTCAGGTGCGCCAATCCCCTCTGTAGGACCCTGTTGTAGCCGGTGGCGCCATTGACCTACCTGTTCTACGTTTGTTTTCCAGCGGTGCATTTTTGTTCACTGTACACTAGTGGTTTATTCCTGACCTCCTCCTCGGCTGATTAAGAGAGTTGGCGGAACCTCGGATGGTTTTTGTTGACACGAGAGGAAGTTTTTTTCCCGTGGTATGCATATGACTGTGCTTACGTCCTGAGCGCCAAGATGTTGCGCGCACACGCACGCTGGTTGTTGCCGTTTTTGTTGCTGCTGTTGTTGTTGTCTCACACGAAGAACTGGCGCGGGCGGCGTCCGTGGACACCGGCCAACAGACAACGAACGTGTTTGAGAGCGATTTGTTGCATGCTTTGGTTGTCGTCTCTTCCTTGGCACGTCCTGTCAATTTGGTACTTGTCGGCGTGTCCCTTGCTTCGGGCATGTCTATGGCTCTCGCGTGTTGTTTTCGCCGTCGGCGGGCTGACCAATCAATAGAGTGCGCTCGTATTTATGCACTCGTATTTGTCTAGTTGGCAGCGACTTCGCTAACCCCCC